CGATCGCCACGACCGCAAACACGGCCGGAACTTGTTGATACGACCTTGCGCTAGTAATCGAAAGTGTTTTCGAAGCGCGGGTTCAGGGACGACGTACGATCAATCGTGGCGTCGAGACCAGCCACCGAGACGACACTCTTTGGCACCCCCCGAAGGGCGCGCCACGCGAGCCATCGACATCCTGCTGCCAGAGCTGCCGGGCTGCTGCGATGGCCCGGGCGTCGCGATCACAGCGCCTGCGACGCCGCCACCCGTCCCACGCCGGTGATGTCGTTGCAGCTATTCCAGGACCGTATCTATCCTATACAATCTTTTTCAAATCCGATACATCGTTTCCTTTAGTAACATCGCAGAATTTTATTTAGAATGACAGATTCCTTTGGTGATTTTTTTCTAAGATTGAAGCTTAGATGACCGATTGGTAATGATTATGAGGACTTGGAACGCTCTTCTTATTTGTGATAGGTAATTCAATGAATTTTTAATCGATTAGACTATAATTTAAAGAGTCTTAATTAAGCAGGTAACCGATAAGGGAAATATGATTTCATTGATAGCGTAAGTATTTGAATTAGATTTGGGTAGGGTGTCGTTGGGACTAGTCACAGTTTATTGGAGGAATAAGTACGCGTTGGAACATGCGCTCGGAGCCGGTAATGGAAAGAGTAGTCCGAATGCGTCGTTCGGAGACTCCCGCGCGTGGAAAAAATGTAATGTATTTAATGGTGTGGAACAGACTGAATGCTCGATAAATTTTGCCGTAATTTCATCCAGAGTACAAATGAGATACCGCCATTTTCGATGATAGAACATCCAATATAACGATATAGCTTTGGCAAGGATGGATAGAAACACGAGCTACGCGCGTGACTTTCACTTGTTGCACCCAAGAGTACAAGCACAGAAATGCATAAATGAATCACCAATTTTAATGATGGAGTCATTTCATTTATTCTTTTTTGTATGCTTTTTTTATATATTGTGTAGATATATTACAGGATATATGAATGATGTTAAAATTATATTCGTCTCTTGACAAATACCAGTGATGTTTGTATTTTTTTAATAAGATAATAAAAATATCATAAGCGTTATATATATTTATATATCTATACATTTCCTAATTGCATTTTCTTTACTCCTACATTTCGCTTCGGTACAGCCACGGAATGAGACGAGATTTTTTCTCAGTTCTTCATACGTAATAAATCTGGGAATGAAACATGTACCGTGAATGTTTTTCTCGTTTGCTTACAGTATATCTCCACGAACCAACCGCGATTACATTCTTATCACATTTTTGAGACAGAACACATTGTATCTGAATAGTACAAAGGTGAATTAATTGCCGACGCATTTCGGCCATGCCAAACCTCCACAAGATATCGACACAATAACGTATATGACAACCTACGAGATTCACACAAAATTAAATGGAATATTTTGCATTAAATCAAATCGTACATAGTATCGATTACTTACGATTAGAATAACTCCAACAATAACGTAAATTTTTACGTTCTTCCAAAACAAAGAGCGTGCTAAATTTCTACTGGTTTTTCTGAATGTAACTGACTAAAAATATACGAAAACATTATTTTTTTGCACATCCTTTATGGTGTCTTTTAATTCTACTTACATTCGTAGATAAATTTTCAGTCTTGTTTACAAGAAGTTCTAGCCGTTCTCCACGCATTGCAACATTATCAATATTTTTACTCATTATATCTTTCAATTCATCCAGATCACCGAGAACGCTATCAAGCACATCGACTTTGTGACTAGACTCATTGTAATGTTTCTAAACAAAAAATGTAATTGTGAAAATGTTAGAAAATACATTTCAGATATATTTATATTTCTTACCATTGTACTAGCTAAAGTTCTTGCAAAATCTGTATTCATCGCATAGGGAATTGCAGTTTGCGCATCTTGACCATATGCAGCCAAGAATCTTCCTTTAATTTCTGCCAGGTATAAAAATGCTTTGGATTTTTGGTAATCCTATAACATGAAAATGTTTGACACTAATGAATTACTTCAAACAATGCTTGATTACTTTTAGATTACTTACATCATCTGTAATGCACATATAAATAATGTTATCTTCACAGATGTAGTGAAAAAGATATTGTCCTTGTGAATATGTAACCTTGTCATTTTCAGCTTTTTTTGCCAGAATGCTCTCTGTTACTTCATCAAAGTTTCCAGTACAGGAAGCATATTTTGCCAATACCGTTGACCCTCGAGCCACCACGGTATATAAAATTGGCATGATGAATGCTGGAATAAAATAAAGATTAATATTTCATTATAGTCACTCTTGTTTAAGCTTTCATAAGCAAAGAATCTTTAACCTACATGGATCTATTAAGTAAACAATAAAATTCTGTTTGTAACTGAATTTCCTTATCTGTTATCAAGCTGATTAATACTTAAAATAACAAAGTTTACAGAAGGTGTTGCCATAACAGCATGTAAAGTAAGAAGTACATTCTAATGTTCTCAAGAAAGCAAGATAATTGCAAGATTTACGGAACAACAATGGAAAAGATTAATAAAACACAAAGTAAGACGCCATAATTTCTAACCTCCAAGGACAATGAAATGTCTTATAAATTCACTGTTTACGTCCAAAATTTAAAAGATGCTGTCAGAACAAATAAGAAATAAAATGACGTCGTAGTAACCAACATGTGAATTTATCAAGATCAGCTATTATTTTCATGACCTACCTCAATTATTAGGATGGCGCGAATTGAGAAGTGATTGTGCACTTTGTTCGATGTTAACCTGACAATTTCTACTGTTCTCCCTCCTGAGATCGTTTTTATGAGTAACTTAATTGATCAACGAATTGTAACTTCATGAGAATTGTCCTATGATCCATCAGCACACGTCAACAGCAACGTCCGAGATTATCAGTAACACATGACAGTTGATCATTGTCAGTGTGTATTCCGTTGACACGCGCACTCCTTGTGGCGCGAAATTTAAAATAGCTTATTTTTCTGCTCTGTTTTCTTCGCGAAGAGAAAGCAATATTTTCATCCGTAAAGATAATCTCAAACAATTCCGTATTACAATTAAAAATGTTTAAAACGTCTGAATCTGAAATATATTTTAAAACACTTTCCTAAAGCTCGTATCTTTAGGCCGTGAAAGATAGGAAAGGAAGAAAAATTCTCGAATACGTTAAAAATCCAAGCATTCCTTACTCGAAATTCACAATTCGCACTCTGGTTTATAACCTAATTACATTATCTTTATCGCTATCAAGAATCAAAATCACTCATTATCTAGAAAAAGAAATCACTGAAGAATTTACTTATCAACAATATCGCCTACAAAATTAATCACAGGGTTTGCCAATTCTTTAAATATATGATCTGTTCTCTTGCATTATGCTTGAACTTCGCTCCAAAAACTAGAGGCGACACGGAACATGCGTGTTCGGCCTCGAAGGGTGCTGGTTAGTTCGCGAAACGCATGTCAGTAGCGATACGAAATTACGTGGTGTGCCAGTTTTCTGGATTTCCTAGCTGCGTACAGATCGATAGCTCCTCACATGTGGCCGCATACCGACCAGTATACCGACGCTGCTTACTACAATGGAGAAGGGAGTTAACAGAACGTAAGAGTGGATAGATAACGGTATATTCGTCGAGAGGAAGAGACGCGTGCTCGCGGAGTCTACTGCAGTTCTGTGTGATTCGGCAGACACGCAACTACCTTCAGAGCTCTGGTGATCATTATCTACGATTGCCGCTGTTCCTTCGATAGTTGCTCGTTCTACGGCCTCTGCGACATTAGCCATGATTCTAGGTAAATATATCACGTTATCAGTAACCTTATCGTGCATTAATGAACTTCATATTAACGCTTTTCCATAGTATTAGACTTCAGAACCTTTTGCAAGTTTTTATCATCAGATTCTTTAGTCACGTGCTGTTCATTATTCATAAACTTGTTCATATGAAGTTCAGTGAACCATAATTAACTGATGTTTACAGATAGTAGATTACTGATAGTAGCTAGTTTTCTTCCTCGACTTTAATTCTGAACTGGTTTCATGGGAAAAGCGATAGAATCGCAAAGTGCGAGAGGACGGGTGCCAATTCCAGGGAAAACTTCTTAGATCATGTTTCTTCATAATTTTCTTGGGTGTCGCAGTTATGTTGTCTCTTTACATTTGTTATACAACGTTGTTTGTTACGTTGTTTGCACTGTTTCATGTGTATATTTGGAGCAGGTCATCGAAATATTTTTTTTACTGACCTGGTATCCAACACATTAGCTTATCTCAAAGATATGTTATTTTTTACATGTTCGTCGCTGCATGATTCTACCAGAAGATATGACTAGTATACAATATTCGCAATTTAAACTTATTATAGTTATTTTCGTGATTGGTCGTGTGTCGGAGAGCAACGCCCGTGATATTGATTTCGGTTAAAGGGTCCATAGTCTCCCCATGCGATTTCCCCTCTACAAAAACAGTAAATCAATAACATTGAAAGAAATATCAAATTATGGTAATACCAGTCTATGTATACCTACGTCTATGGTGGATATAGCAAATATACACGTATAAAATACAAATTAAATAATCGGCGAAATTAGAAGATTTATCGTTATCTAGGCACAAATATCTCACTTTAAGCTAAAATAAATCTATTTATTCGTTTTATTATGTTGTTACGTAATAGCACTGGAATATCTAGTACGTTGAATTCACTGATAGCACTGATAATTACAGTAAGTGATGTAAGGCATACCGTCTCTCTTAGCGTTCGATAAACATTCGTCAGAAAATATCAAAGTTCGAAAGAGATTGCGAATGTTTATGCATTTATGGAAAATTTAAACATGCAAACATTCGTAAAATACACATTATATGTAAAAATATAAATTATATCCAAAGCAGAGTATTCGTTGTAATATTCAGCGAGTGAAACAGGTCTCTACCTATCCGATCGCGTTCATAAAAATACGAATTTGTATAAACATTCACTATCTGGTCATTAGGAACACCTATAAGAATGACTGAAAAAGCAAATGCGATAATCTATGCACATCTTCGAAAGCGCACAGTTCTTCGGTTTCCGTAGCCTACTTTCCCGCGTATCAACGATACGGGACATTTTAGCATGGACAAATTGTGCAAGTTGTCTAATGCGAGTATACATCTGCTGTCACAATATTCCGTTACGTTGTTCCGATTTCTCGCTATTTAGAGGATGTCATTTTGAATTGCGATCAAGAAACGGTCTATATTATAATACAATTTTATCTGTTTCCGGTCGGCTGACAAGAATGCCGGCTACTGTTCGTTCGAATATGTACCGTTAAGCGCGCCATAAACTAAACATTAACGTTCAATTTGCATCGTTCGAGATTACTTCTCATAAAATTCTGTAGAATGCAAATAAAACGGAAGCTTGTCGTGAACGTTCCGTTGGAAGATCTTCAGGTCCGTTGATCACAGTAGTGCGTCTAATTTATTTCACGGGTATTCTCGATGACCTCCAGTATAATTTCAGATTTCACGCCATTAAAATAAATTATACAAGCCAGTTCGATGTTTACTTGATCGGCGAAGGACTCGAGAAAGGTACACATACAAAATTTCACCCTCTGTTTAGATGGTGACAGGGGATTCACATATTATCGGGACTCATATACATTTCAGGGTCGTATACTATTCAGCAACGACAGTCTCTCCTTTGCGATCTTCCTTTGTTTCTCTCTGAAACCATTACTTCGTCGGCGTTTTGCATTGCAAATAACTTGACTTCTCATTCGCACGGATGTTCCCTCGATGTCCTCTCTGAAACACAAAATTCAAAGTGTTCTAAAAATTTACAAAAGAAGAGAAAACGAAAATTAGCTCTTTCAGCGAATAATCGAGACAATGTAAATGCTCAGTATCTCTACAGTAGAGCTGCATTTATCCGAACGAAATTTTAGTTAGTACCCGGTTGATCGAACTTCTGCTGGTTGCATTTATTTATCTGAACGTGAGCTCCTATTATGTGAACTCTAACTATACAAAATGTTCGTCCCCCGACTAGTTCAGACAAGTGGAGTTCTACTATAAGTCAAATTTAACCACCATGCAATGTTTATCTATGTTCTGTTATCTGGACGTTTGATCGCGGCTGCGAGTCGACGATTCTGCAACGGACCGTTTTGCATGGTCACATAACCGTAGAGAATTAATGTTGCTGAATGTTTTGAGAGCAGACAGGACACGGCTGACGTACGTATCTGCAGCCGTTGTTGGCGCCGGCACTGTAGTCGTCTTCTTTTGGTGGTGGTGGACAAAAAGGCAAAAGGATAGACCACCCTCAGAATGGCGGAAGGTTGGCGAATTGAGCGACCTGTTCGTGTATCCGGTTAAGTCGCTCGGCCTTGTTCGAGTGAACTCAATGGAGTGCACGAAATTGGGCCTGAAATCTGGCTGGCTTAGGGACCGAACTTTGATGGTCATCGACTTGAATGGACACTTCGTTACTGCCAGACAGTGGCCAAAGATGGTTCAGGTAAGAGATTCAAAATTAACCAATAATATAGTATCTTGCATCTGGATCGACGGTTGTATGTAAATATATGGAAGAAGATATATTGTCTGTTAGCTATTTGACTCGCATCACATCAATTAAAAAGACTGTTTTATTCTGTCTATATATCCATTTTACGCAGAGACGAGATTTCCTGGCATAGTCTCTGTCTTGCATTTTGATTAAATTTAGTTCCAACGATCAGGATGCAAGGAAACACCACACCCTTAATTATATTTACTTCACCAATTGTCCTAACTTTGTATATTGATTTTTATTGATATTTATCATTTATATTTATTTCAATATTTGCTTCAAGATCGAGTATTAGGTATTTTGAGAGAACGAAGCCCATGGAAATCAGAGACACTCCATAAAAACTACTCTTAGCCGATGATAACATCTCGATAACACCTTCCGACCATTTAATTACACTAGAAGATGATATTAGATCCGCTATTTGGTAGATTATCTAATTTGATTAGTGTATATCAACGTATCAACTTACAAGGAGCAATGTTTTATCTTTATAACGAGACGCGTATTCAACTCATAGCTGATAACGAAACAGGAAGAAATGCAATGTGGGATCGTTGTGAAAGCTAGGTGGGTGATAATTAGAAATGGATCGATGCGCGATAATCAAGGCAATTTCTTCTGATCTTTCTCATCTCTCGATATGTGTATTCTTCACTAGTCGTTAAGCTTAGTTTGCACAGTCCTGGCACGGATTCGGTTGGGTTTCCTCCTTGAGCTCGAAGAAGCAAACCGCCATTTCTTTAACACGACTTTGTAAGGAAACGGGATACTTTTATAATCAGGATTAACGATCCGTTTTATTGTCGCGAAGATTCGCGAAATTAACTGTTGGAGTCCGACGCGAGTAATTAATTCACCATACGGCGGTATTTTCCTATCGTACGTTGCCTCGTTTAATGTCACTTCCGCTGTGATCGAACAGCGTCTTGTACCTTCGATTCGATGGAGATGTCTTTCATCTCGGAATTTCGATATTTCTGTTTAAAAAAGTTTCGTATCGCTTCCTTAAATCTTTGTCAGTGTAACAAAATAACAAAAAATTCAGAATGAATGATTTAAAAATTAATTATCTCTTCGGTTTCAAGATTTCGCTTATCTCAGCTATCAGATACAGAAAACACTTACTTTCAACTTTTTACAAGAAGTAAATATTAATAATTGCGTTGTTGCGGAAACTTTTTGGTACCAATATATCCAAAGTAAATTATTCGTTATGATATTCAGAGGATGCAAAATATCTTTATTTTATATTATTTCTATTATAGACAGTTTGATCGTTACATTTAGAATGTGAAATTTATAATTATTGTTAAGGAGATAATTATCAATGAAATGGTGAACTGAATTTGTGGGTTTCAGGTGATAC